AGGTCTGCACCTCAGACGCTCATCCTGGCTTCGGGCGGCTTGCGATTCCCGCTCGTCTTCGGCCAAGGGAGAAAAACTGCGTGTAAATGCGTCGCTTGAGAGCAGAAAGCGGGATTTTCTAGATGGATTGCCACTGCCTCAGCTGTGGCTAGCAGTGGAATAGTGGAGGTAACCATTTATCATATTCGCGGAGCAGGTTCAGGAGTACTCCCATTGGCTAATGCTTTATCGTCGGAGGGGAGAAAATGAAGGAGCGTGTTTAAGTAGCGGTTGGAAGTCGCGAGCATCTCGACGCATAAGTGTGCATCTGAGTGGAAATGAATCAAGTGTCCGTAGAACTTACTTTGCTCCTTATAATGGGTTATTTTCCGCAATCGTGAATTAATTCGAGGATCTTTTATAAGCCTTCGAATGCAAAAAAGAGTGGCCATTTAAAAAAAATATTTATTATTCTTCTGTGTGTTCCGTTTCTAAATAAGGCATAAGCGGAACGTATAGTTTACAGAAAAGTATATTTCTACATGACTTACAGTCAATAAGGCCTTCTTTATATTACCTTTGCGGTAAAATATGCGGACACTTTGCTTATTCGCCAAGGTGAGCCGTGTGGTAAAAGGAAATGCGACAAAAACGTTTTTACTGAATTCTTTGCAAAAAAAACTTCACAGATTAGCTAAAGATAATTTTTAAAACTTAAATTGTTGCTTGTTTCTGAGCGTACATGCGATTCCTTAAAGTTGGCTTCACTTCAATTTGAACAACTTCGGACAACATTTTCCGGTTCTGGAAGGAATAATGTTTCCACTTTTTTACTTATCACGGAATTCATCCATAGTACTATGCATATTAATAAAACATTTGGTTCTGACGTACCTTATAGAATAGGAAATTTTTTCGACATAAACTCATCCATGCTTTAACCAAACTTAATGTCTAGTTCGTATCATAATATTAACTAACTCAGTTGAACAAAGGAACCTGTCCAAATATATGCTAAAATACCAGGTTAAATTACGTCACGAAAGTTGCATGCAGGGCTTGCCACGCTGTATGTATATGAACTTTACATGCGAGTGGAGAGCAGACAAAAGTGGCAGCTCTCTTTGTATAGCCCCTGTATCAGATTTCTAGGTAGAGAGGAACGGCTGTTAGTACATGACGTATGAAGCATTTAAAAATTTTATTACACGACTTCATGTCCTTTGCTTTTTACAGCCTTTGACTGTGCGTCAACTGCAGTTTCTGAATTGGCCAATGGGAGGCCACCCCAATGAACTGCAACTGGTCAAGTTCATTGAAGAATGTTACAATCCCAAAGTACTGGTTGCCAAGAATGCCGGACCGAGGGTCATCCACTGCCGGTGAGTATCTCTTTGTCTCTGTATCTCTCTCTTTTGTTTCTTACTCCTCTTTGCGTGACTCAGCGGTCAATTTAGCTACCTCAATTGGGCGAGTCATGGTCATGTTTTTAGAGAGGGCCTGCTCAGGATTTCAGGTGTTATCTCCAGCTACGGATTAACAATTTGGTTTGAATGCTTAAGTTTCGCCAGGAGAGGCGAGGAACTTTATTCGTATACGGAACATCTGGAAACCTCTAAAAGGATATCATTTACCACCGACGCCTAGCTAGGCGACTTTAACAGTCACAGAGGTGGACAGTGCACACTAAGCAATGACAATTTTACCATAAATTTCGATGATGTTCACCATATGCCCAAGAGCGGGGATTTTGACTGGAGACAAAGCCGAAATTTAGGTGAAATAGATGAAATACCTCTTTGTTTCCGTCATCTGCTGTCTTTCTCTTCGCTATTTCTCCTCTTTTCGCGACTCAGCGGCCAGTTTAACGACCTCAATTGGGCGAGTCAAGGTCACCTTTTAGAAGGGGTCTGTTCAGGATTTCAGGTGTTGTTAGGTGTGTTTGGCATACTTGCACAATTCAGTTGACCCAATTGTGAAACATCTGCGGCCTTGGTGGAAATCAAACCCACTCAGCCAGGAAGGCTTTTGCGTAGCCAAGGCTCTACCATTGAGCTATGAGGCTTACCGTCCACAGTAAATTTATTCCTACTTGGATCGATTTATCCCGCCTAACTTACTGCTCATATGGAACCCACCCTTACGGAACAGCGAGCTGACTGCTTGTGCAGGATTTCCTAAGCAGCCATCAAGAATAAATCAAAATGACTATGAGGCTCAACTTATTTTCAGGAGGTTTGGCCGATGTGCTTAGTTGTTCATATCCGGAACACTTTCCAATTGGAAATGTCTAAAAGGAGGCCGTATACCGCCGACCCACGGATCTTCGTAAGTTGACTTTTAGATCACTAGCTCTGAACCGTCCGCACTAAGCAACAGTGACGACCAACAGGTCTTCTCAACTAATACGTTTACAAAATCGACGCGGACTTCGGCTTAACAACCGAAACCTCGGCTGCTTTCACCAAGGATATTCGGTGTTTGCTTTATGCGGCGGACAAGCGACTTGATGCTTGGTTTAATTAGTTTGTTAAAAAGAAAAAATGTCCGTCTTTTATAGCCCGTTCCACTGCCTAACACAGCAGTTGTAGGATCAGTTCAGTAAAATGCATTGCTAAAAATAATCTGGCAATCTTGGAGGGACACGCTCCCTAGACAAGGTACAGGGTAAGGGGTTCAATGGAGCGAAAGTCCCTGCAAAACTGCTCTATTAGATCCTAACGGGATCCTTCTCCCCCGTCGTCGTGGGTTATAATTCAACGATAACGGCCCAGTTTTCCACAATTGGCTCATGTGAAAG